TGTGTCACGTTCTCAAATTGCTAGGGAGACCCAACAACCTCATATTTACATATTTTCACACCCACCTGAGAGATACATGGGAATCACAGCTTATTTTTACATTCAGAAAATACATGGACATTTATTGCAAATGCATGTTAAACATCAAGTCCCTTCAACAACTGAACCATTCATTGCTTTGTGACAAGGAAAGGAATTTCTAAGATGTACTTGAAGGGCTACTCACAAAGCATTGAGCTGCTGACGGGAGGAATTTCCACCTGCTAAAACTCTTCTCTAATGATAAAATCAAAACTTTTCTTCTTTCAGACCATGCTGTGAACCTTAGAGGTGTGATTCCACAACGTGCTTTTGTTCAGAACTATGAACTCACGTGAGCAAGGAGTTATAGCCGACCAAGGGTGGAAGTGTTGGGGGTCTCATGAGGACTCCTTCCCTTCAAATCTGGAGGAGAAACTTCAGCGGCCACCACGACCCAGATCCTCAGAACTTCCTTCCTTTAGACACTTGATATGAGCTCAGTCACCCGCATGAAGAGCTGCACATGGAGAGATGGAATCAGCAATCATTATGCTTTATTGGAAGAACTACGTGCCTAGCACCGTGCTAGGCACTGGGTTAGTGACCAACGACACGTAAAATTGGGTAGTGATCGTAACGACCGTAAGATACAATGGGGTTCTCACCAGGGCGTTTTTCTTTGCCTTTCTTCGTCTATTCCCTAACAATCAATTGGAAAAGGAATAAGAGGTGGCCTGAATTCATACAGACTAAGAGGTGGCCTGAATTCATACAGACATCCACGATCCCGCCGTAGCCACAGGGCCATGGGCTTGCACGTGTGTTATCACTGAATCCTGTGGGTGAGCATCTTCATCCCCATTCTACAGACGGAAAGCGGGGCTCAGAGAGTCCTTACCTGTCCTATCCTCCCGCGCCCTGTCTTTACTTGGAAAGTAGCTCCAGGACACCCTGGAGCAGGACACCGCACTCACTGGGGCCAGGAGGGTCCCACATCTGTCTGCCTCACGAGACAGCGGGGCACCGAGTCTCAAAGCGGGAACGAGGCGACCTGGATCTGGGATCCCTCCGTCCCCCCACACCCCAGGGAGGCTCAGCCCCCACCGCGGGGCACGCGCACCCTCAGCTGAGTCCAGACACCTGAAGGATCACCCACACCCTCAGCTGAGTCCAGACACCTGAAGGAGGTACCTGCTCACCTGCAAGTGCCACGCCGGTCTCTAATAATAAGTCGTCACGGTCGCCAGTATGACGTCAGGTTTCTATGGCAACCGCGATGAGCAGACTCGTCCTCCACCCCTGAGATGCCTCCGCATATCCCTCTGTCCCCTTGCTTTTCGCTGAAAGCAAGACACCTTCACTCTTCAGTCCACCACCTGAGAAAGAACTACAAGAACCAGACTGAGACGCAGGCAATTCGCGGAACTCCGGTCAGGTTGTGGAAAGAAAGCATGTCTCTCTTGTCAGGAGTTTCGTTTACTTTAAAAGGTACAGTAGCGGAGTCTTATCAGTACGCAGAGGCCCAGGGAGGTGTCCTAGAGCTCTTGGAGATGAGATCTGTACGAGAAATGCCATTGTACCACTCTTCTTGATAGCACAAATCTACAAACGACCGAAATGTCCATCAACGGATTATTCTGCATAAATCAATTATAGTACAATCATACAGTGGAATACAATATATCATTAAAAATGAATGAACTAGAGCTACGCCAAGTAGAATGTAGGTGAATCTCACAAACAAAATATGTGGTGAAAACTTCAAGTTACACGATGACACCTAGTTAAACCTGCGTACGCATACTGGTAAAGACATTCCTATGAAGTTTTATTAAAATACAGACGGTTAGGACCTACTCCAGACTTACTGAATCTCTTTATTTGATATTCTCTTGGTGTTATCAACACTGTGCTCTAAATACGTGAGCTAACCGGCCAGCCCTAAAAAGTTTTATAGCCTGCAGCTGTACCCCAAAGGAGTGAGGTGGAAAAACTCACACCTCTTTGGAGTCCAGGAGAAAATGAGAAAGTACCATGACAGCCTGTTGCTAGATAGTGAGGCAAGTGAGAAATGGTGTGGTAACAGCTGATCAGAAGCCTGCCATGTCCTCATGCTCTAGGACGACCAAAAGGCTTTCTTCCGAGACTTGGATGAGCAGTGGTTCAAGCCTTGCCTCCATGACCTATGTAGATACATGCAAAGTTGTTAGGGTGCTGAAAAGGAGCCATTTCCCCAAAAATGTATGCCACATATTTTAGCCTATTGACACTTGAAAGGATACATTTATAGGTACTGGCTTCTGAAGTCATTGCTTCAGCAACTTTAAAACCATACCAATGGACTGAAGATTTCCAAAATTCTTTTTAGTTGAGAGGCAGATGGGTTCAAGAGACTAACACAAAATGCAGCAGAATAAGAGTTAATTATACAGAACTGAATGACTTAATGAGGGATTATTGTAGTTTTCTTTGAAATACTGTTGATGGAGTTTTAATCTTCCATATGTTCTGGACATATAATGCAGCCCTCACTTTCTTACAATGTCTTTAACCTATAACAATTTAGTAAACTTGGCCTTCATAAACTGAAACAAAATATTTGCAAATGATTTATTTTTTTCTCACTGACTTCTCCCAACCCTCTGTAACATTTACAGATTCAAATTGGGGATTCTTACTTTTTTTTTTTTTCTTTTTGTCTTTTTCGTGTCCGGCAACGGATCGCAACCCTCAGTGTCGCGCCCATACCGGACCGGGACCGGCAACAGGATCGCAACCCTTGGTGGAGCACCCGCACCTCGCTCAGCCAGTGAGCGGGAACCGGTCTGTATGTGGGATCCGAACCCTCGGCGGGAGGAGCACTGTAGCAGTGCACCACCAGGCCGGCCCCGGGGATTCTTACTTTTCATGGGAATATAAAGATTTGCACAGGTTCTGTTAAAACCCATCCTCCTTTTTTGACGGGATATAATGGCAAATTTAGTTACACTACTAAGGCCTTGCCTGAAATAGATGGGATATAATGGCAAATTTGGTTACACTACTAAGGCCTTGCCTGAAATACCATATTTGAGAATGATGCTCATTTAATCAGGTATAACCAGTGACAGTTAGAAAATTAAGGTTGACACTAGGATGCCCAATGAGGAAAACCAACCAACCTGGTACCTGGCTTGCAGGTTCCCAACCTTATAGGTAAGAAGGGAAGGTCATTGCTGGCAAGCCCAGAATTCTGAGATAGTTTGGTAACCTCAAGAAGAAAGAACCGGCCCAAATTTTATCCACTGCAGGTGAAATCTGCTGGGGAGAGTTTCTTGGCTTTCTTTCCTAGCCTCAGGATAAGCAAATAATAAGAGGCTATATATTAGCAATATAATGCGGAAAAACCTACAGTAACATCGAGCTCGATGGTGAAAGCCTGAAAGCTTTTCCTTTGAGATCAGGAACAAGACATTTGCATTCAAAATAGTATGGGAAGTTCTAGACAGAGCAATTAGGCTAGAAAAAGAAATGAAGCATCCAGGTTGGAAAGGGAGAAGTAAAATTATCTCTGTTCAAAAGTGACATACTCTACTGTGTAGAAAAACCTGTAGATTCTACAAAAGAACCGTTAGAACTAATAAATTCTCCAAATTTGTAGGATACAAAATCAACAGATAAAAATCAGTTGTGTTTTTTATACTGTAGAGCTAGGGCTAGGGTCTGAAGCTCACAGTCCCCTCGAGCCGGTTCACAAGCCCTTCACATGCAGGTCTTTCAGCTAGGTGACCGGCGACAAAGGTCTTCGGAGCCTTGGCTGAAGGAGGAATAGTCTTTATTCAACACACAGAACACTATGAGCCAACCAGTCCATAGAGAAACTCCAAAACTCAACTGCTACCGGCAAAGCCCAAAGAAAAACTGAAACAGAGCAGCTGCCAGCAGAGTAAACATGCTCTATTGCTAGCCACTTAGAAGCCAGATGTGCCAGCCAGCACTGCTTCACTAACTGCAGAACACACAAAGAAATTAACTAGAAAAATACATGGGTGCACATGCACACTAACTCCACCCACACACAACTTGTTTACAAGAAATGTCAGGGAGCCTGACTAAATTATCCTATTTTCCCCACATATACCCTACTAATAAATAATCTGAAAAGGAAATTAAGACAATTCCATTTGCAGTAGCATCAAAAAGAATGAAATAGCTAGGAATAAACTTAACTAAGGAGGAAAAAGACACCTACAGTAAAA